CCTCCCATTCCTCAAATTAGTTAAGAACGGGTGCCCGACACGTCAACCCTCCCCCACTGGACTCTTTCTCAACAAATAAACCCACTTCAGGCTGAAACACTCAAGAACGGCCTGAGGCTCTTCAGAACCAAAAGCTTAGACTCCAGCAACATTCTACTTCAACTGATTACAAAACTTTGATAAGGGTCTGTGGGGTGATTTGGTGTGTGTATGTTCGTTTTGCGTTTTGTTTGCTTTGCTTTTGCTGACGTTTGTGTACCTTTGAGAGTTCCGTGAAAGCATATCTGACACACACTGCCCCCCCATTTAAACACACAAACACATATGCACACATAGCCTACCCTAGGAAATATCTCACCATGCATATAACAGCCTGGTTGAAAATGTTTTATTGAAACTGGTCTTCCCAGAATTAGCTCAATGTCTCAGCTAATTCTATTAGGCCTAGGGTTGCCAGATGTCAGGCAAAAGGAGGACATGTCCTCCTTTTTAGTCTAATGTTCTCCGTCAGGCAGACAAAGATAAAAATCTTTAAAATGTCAGGCTTTTGTATATTTTATGTTATAATTTTGGATGGGAGGGGGAGAGGTGGAAGGACCCCCTTCCCCCTGACTTTCCCCACCACCACCTGCCTGCCCACTCCCGGTGTTTTGGAGGAAAAAAAAAAGCCTCCATTGAATTTATTTTATTTTTTAACATGACTGTTTCTTGATCAGTTCACTAAGAGACATTTATTGGCAGCTATTGTAATAAAATTGTATTGATTGTGGGTTTAATCTGGAACAATTCAAATGAAACATTCAATATGTCCTCCTTTGTCCTCCTTTTTGTCTTTCTATGTCCTCCTTTTAGTAGCCGTGTATCTGGCAACCCTAATTAAGCCCAAGCAATAATAATAAATGGACAGTTTCTTGGAGGAAAGGGCTACTATAGGTTTATCCAGATAAGACAAGAGTGCACTCAGGTGCCCAGCAGGGTAGGGACCCCGAGATCAACAGGGTTAAAATTTTTATACAGTTCTAAAAAGGAAAAAAAGTATGCAGCAGTTCATTGGTCCTTGAGGACTATGTGCATTGGTTACGATTTCTCACATCTCAGCAAAGCAGTTAGCTTCTCATGTGCAGAGAGCTTATCTCTGAGGAATGTTGAGTCTTCCCTACAAAACACCACTTCCTCTTTGGCATTCGTTTCTCATGCGCAGAGCAGCTTATCTCTGAGGAGTGTTGATTCTTCCTTACAAAACACCACTTCTTCTTACAGTCCCCCCTCCCAGTAGGTCTGGGTTTGTCACACTCCCTTCTTACAGTCCTGCCTCTAGAAGCTGTGATAAACATGTAGCATTATAATGTCCACAAAGGCGTTTCATTTCATATAAAGAGGGGTGCATTTGGTGAGGGCAAATACATTGCGTAAGGCCAGAGGTGGCCTGAATACAGCAACAGATTAGAACACGCAGGGCCAGGAAGATGACCATACCGGCAAATAGTGATTGTACCCATCCCCATCCAGGGAGCCAATCAGTTAACCATCCCCACAAGGCAAGCTCTCTGGTGACCTCTGGATACCACTGCATGCAAAGGGCAGCTAATGGTCACTCAGTAGACCTGGCTAGGGCATACTGGGAGGGATCAAAGAGACGGGTTACATATCTGCTGCCCACCCACTGAACCTGGATGTGGTTCCAGCCTCTCAGTGTTAGGACCCCTGTGGGTATGATGGGCCAGCCCTACGTGCCACTAGATGTCCCATGGCTGCATACCCAACAGTCAGTGACATTAACAACCTGAGGGATATCATTCACTAATTGATGAAATAAGTTATGTTCTCAGCTTGCATGTACTGAGATGACAAAGGGAAACTGGTGGAAAAAACAGAAGAAACAAATTGAGAGAGCAATTGCAATATGGAGAACAATACAAATAACCCACGGGTCCACAGGCATTTGAACGGTATCACTCTCTTTTGAACAAAAGTCTAAGATCTTGAACAGGATCAGGGTTCACTGTCCACTCCTTGGGAGATTCAGCCTTCTTCACTCTGGTGTGGTGTATCCACGATTTTACTCTGGAAACTCTTGATTGCAGTGTCAGTAAGTCAGCAGGACTTACCATGGAGCACTCCAGCAGGTTGCAATGGCTGTTGGGCTCGCAGCTGCTCCCACTGTTTCACAACCACCTAATTGCCAGGATCAAAGTTATGGATTGGACCATCAAGGCTGAGCGGATGTTCCTGGAGGGCTGCAGAATGAGAAGACGACAAGAAACGAGACAGAGACTGCACATATTGAGAAAACAATGCCGTTCCATACACTACTTCCCCCCCTCTGGGCACCTGGACCAGAAAACCGAGGGCCAGGGGCGGTCAAATACACGCTCAAAGGGTGATAGTTTCAGTTTTCCTCTGGGGGTAGTGCGTAGTACAATGAGGGCTAATGGAAGAGCCTGTGGCCATTTAAGGCTAGTCTCTTGGCAGATTTTTGCAATAAGCACCTTAAGGTGCCCATTCATTCTCCCAACCATGCCACTGGCCAGGGGACGATATGGGTTATGGAACCCCCATGAGATGTTCAGAGCTGACACTAGGTGCAACACTTTGGACTCAAAATTGGGACCCCTGTCACTATCAAGTCCTAGCGGTAGGCCCTAGTGAGGCCTGATGTCTTGAAGGAGGGCTTTAGCCACCTCTCTGGCTTTACATGTCCTGGCTGGGAAAGCCTCGGTCCTGAGAATTTACAGACAAAAACAAGTAAATAACAGTAGCCTGAGTGTCGGAGCACCTCAGAAAATTCAGCCTGCCAGTATTGGCCAGGAAACAAAAAAGGGTTAGTGAGGTTCTTTCGGAGCTCTTAGAGGTCTTTACTATCCTGATGTCCCCGGCAGTGAATCAATGCAAGTTCTTTTGGCAGGTTTACAGCATCTAAGAATTGTACAGTGACCAATCCATGCTTTATTGGAGAACCTTTTGCAGTCAGACGTCCCCGTTCTTTCCAGAGTGATGCATGCGCATAAAAGATTCCCTGCAGATATTTATTGTCCATGTACAAAGTGACTCACAAGCCTTTTGCAGCCTGTAGAGCTTGGAGACCAGCTTCCAGCTCTGCACGTTGAACTGAGCAGCTTGGTGGCAATGCTCCCGACCTCGTCACTGAGCCAGTCTGATTCACCACAGCCCACCCTGTCTTCCGCACACTCTCTTCTACATAGCTTGAGCCACCTGCAAACCATACTGCCTCTGCATTCTGCAGAGGTTTGTCCTTCATATCTACTCATGACTTTGTCTGTCCATCGAGCACTGTTACATAATCATGTATTAAGGGTCCTTTATTTAACCTCATCCTGTTCATCAGGTAGGTGGGTGGGTGGGTTCCATCTGTCGGATCGGAGCACTGACACCTGTGGATTTTCTAACAATAGGGCCTGGATTTTTAGTAGTCATCCTGATGATATCCAAGTAGTCCCATGAGCCTGCAGGATGGCAGTTAGTGAATGAGCTGAAAGGACTTCCAGCACCCCACCAAAGGTAAGTTTGAGGGCTTCTTGGATTAGTAGAGCAGCAGCTGCTACAGATCTAAGGCAAGCAGGCCAACCACTTGCAGTATTATCCAAGGTCTGGCTCAAATAAGCCACTATGCCTGGGATGGCAGATGTATGCTGCGTCAGGATGCCCTTTGCTGTTCCCTCACACTCTCTGACAAATAGTCGGAAGCTCCCTTCAGGATCGGGAAGGCGGAAGACAGAAGAGATGCTGCAAAAGGTGAGTGGGGAGTCACATTGGGGAGGTAGGGAGAGAACCAGGTGGCACCTGAGGAATGGGTGAGCGTGCAGGGGAGGGTGCTGTGCCTGCCCAACAGGTGTGCGAGCACAGGGACAAATTGGGCCAGACCTCTGGATCGAGGTTCGTGCCCATCTCTACTTATGAAACAAGAAGGCTCATGAGTTCCGAGACTGGTGCTTCCATCTTGCCTCCAAATGGTCCAAACAGCATTGGGCTTCCTGGCTCAGGCTCATGAGTTCCGAGACTGGTGCTTCCCTCCCATCTTGCCTCCAAATGGTCCAAACAACATTGGGCTTCCTGGTTGTCTCTCCCCAGTCCTTTCTCTTCACTTCTGGCTTTTTGGTGCACAAGCACACAGCCATAAAAGGGATCCCCAGCATGAGTTGGGCATGGGTGGAGATGGGTTTGGTGGCTTTAAAACCAGCTCACACCCAACAACCAAGGCTTCTCTTCAAGTGCTGGGGGGGGTCACTTTGAGGTTGGTTTCACTGCCTGGAGATCCAGAGAAACACTGCAGTTCCTCAAGACTTCAGCTAAATGTCCTGAAGCTTGGCAACTTTAATACCAAAAAAGCCTCATTTGCTAAATTCATAGTTGTATTCAAAGCCAAGGAAAATGGAAGAAAATGAAGTGAAAATAATCTTTGTGTTTACAGTCATCGTGAGCTCTTTAATCTTAAATACAAACATTAGATTGCTGAGGGTGGGAGGGTGAGATTCCCCACAGTACCACATCGCTTAAGAATTAATATTTACCTGATATGCCATTTCTGTTGTTTGGAGAAAAACTGGATTCAGGATTTACTTTACTTTGGTTTTAAAACCTGGACAAGGGTTAACATTTCACTTAGCGGCTTAGGTCTCTGGCTGCAGACCCAGAAGTTGGGAGTTCGATTCCCCACTGTGCCTCCTTGATAGGGGCTAGACTTGATGATCCATAAGGTCCCTTCCACCTCTGCAGTTCCAAGATTATCTAAGATTATTTCCATAGTTTTGGTATTCTGAACAGAAATGAACTGAGCCATAGAACAGAAACTTAGCACATCAGAGATAATAGCAACACGATACCACTTATAAGAAATGCCCATGCATAAATAAATTTAAAAAGAAAAAGAAAAAGAGAAGTTCAAAACAAGTGTTTCAGATCACTTTGAATGAGCAACCATGAGTAGAGATAGTTTATTCTGGAGACTGGAGCCCCAGAAAACACTTCACTGTGGTATTTCAGAAGAGTTTGTGCTGGTGATAAACGACATGCCTGCTGAAGATAATCTCAATCAAAGAAAAAAGGTCAGATTATAACGTTTGCTTTCAATTTGGGGAGGAAAATTCCAGTTTTTAACTGTTAAAGTGTATCATGCAGGGTAATTGCCTCAGGTGTTTTCTGTAAGCACTTCTTTTATTTACAACTTTTTGAATTTGATAAATGGTGTCTGTATTAGCAGTAAATTAAGATTAATTGTACTGTTTTTCCATGCAAATGTGTACAGGGTGGGGTTTTTTTGCGCCTTGGTCTAAAAGAGTAAAATCAAACTCTGGGGGCTGATAAAGTAATTTCTAAGCCTCGGATTATTATAGACTTGTTGACCTAGCAGCTCAATATATGAACTCCACTGAAAAACATTTCATTTTAGTTATTCTGAAATTCCTGACTGTGTTGTTTGGTGTTGTCCCCACTGAGTGACGAAAAGCAAGTGTGAAACAGCCTTTAATTTCCTGCAAACATATGTGCCCTGAGGTTTAATTATGCAAGGTAAATGGTGCTTGGCTCAACCACTGGACACACCAGGGCAATTGTTCGGGCATTAGATGCTAGGTGGTGTTGAGTAGTTCCAGCAGCCTCCTGGTTGCTTCCTTCCCTTGTGGAACAAAGCAACCTGCCTGGTATGCCCTGAATTACAGTAGTCATCTGCCTTCAGGTGGGCTGAAGAGTTTTGTCTCATTTGCTGCTATTGAAGAGTCACTTGCCTGCCCAGTTGACTTCTGCAGCTGGAATGAGGTATGCATCATCTTGTCCTTTGCCTCAGGCAGCACACAGTTCCTGAGCAGCCCTGATATTTAGTTGTGAAACACATTAATGTGACTTGTAGAACCACAGAATAATTGAGTTGGAAGGGCCCTATAAGGCCATCGCGTCCAACCGCCTGCTCAAGGCAGGAATCCAAATCAAAGCACAGCTGACAGAGGGTTAACCAATTTCCTCTTGAATGTCTGTGTCAATCTTTATTTACTACGGCCACTGCAACCTATAACTATTTTCTCAATGCCAAACTTATTTGCATCAATCAAATTTCTCCAAAATGGGAATCTAATGGTAGATTTCAATCTAAAAAAGATTTCAAGCAGTTTTAGAGCAAATAAATCAAAACAACAATGTTAACTTTTTTTTAAAAAAATCTCCTTTGAAAATTAAAGGCATCTTATTTGAAACATAGATTATTTATAAATGTCCTTTGTTATATGGGTTCCCCCATGTTCTTGTTTTCCTGTGTTAATGAAACCCTATAGCAATAACCCTGTTTATCTTGATTTCTTTTGATCTCAGTTTTTCTGGAGATAGAGAGAAAAGAATGTTAAACTTTTGATTATTTGAATGTTTAAAGAGATGGAAAGAGGACCCCTTTTTGCATAGCTAGAAAACAATTTGCATATGTAGGTATCCTGCTTTTCCCAGCAGTAATCCGAACATTCATTCATGGTAGTATTTTCATTATTTTTCAGAGGAAAGTAATTGTTCTCTTCATAATTTCAATAACAATGGCTAGCATGGCTGTTTTCCTTGCTTTTGTTCAGGAGGGCAGAGATGTCTTATTCGGTGAGTGAAAAAGAAAACATTTTCATGTACTTTCTAGTTAGTGGGATAAATAAGAGAGGCATTGTCATATTTTTGTTTTTTAAAATAACCGTCACATGGTTTTCAAAGAAAAGAGACTTCTGGTTTGTTTTGTGGATACTTATATAGAGATTTATTTGTTCAAGATGCTTTTCTGTACCAAGAACTTTTAAAATATTATTATTTTATTATTTTGACTGAATCCCATCTTTTCCCTATAATTTGGCGCAGTGGTTAAACTGTTGAACTGCAGCCAAAACTGTGCTCACGACCTGGGGTTCAATCCCAGGTAGCTGGCTCAAGGTTGACTCAGCCTTCTATCCTTCCAAGGTCAGTAAAATGAGTATCCAGCTTGCTGAGGGGGCAATGTGTAGCCTGCATAGTTAACTTGTAAACCGCCCAGAGAGTGCTTGAAGCGCTATGGGGCGGTATATAAGCAGCACACTTTGCTTTTCCCTATAATTTCTGGTGCAAATTGTTTACTTATAGGGTATAATTGTGCAATGATGTTGTTCTCAGTATCATTGTAGATGAAGTGGGTGGTGGGGAGACATCATGTGATGTATTATATAGAGTATTCCAACATAGCACAACAGTGCTGAATAAGATATTTGGGGTGTTGATTGCCATTCTAGATATTCGATACAATGCAAAAACAGGTTTAGATTGTTTTAGATGAATTGTATTTTTGGCAACTATGGTACCCAATGTGTTGTAGTAGAAAGAGTGACAGACTAGGACTCAGGAGACTTGGATTCAAATCCTTGCTCTGCCACAGAAACGCAGAGGTGGAACTTGTAAAACCATTCCTTAGATATCTCACTTATGTCGAACTAGGGTCGCTCTAAGTAGGTTCCAACTTGATGGCACATAGCTAACTATTTTGGCAATTAACTCATGAAGAGAAAGAAGAGTCATCTTTTCAGACACCAGCGTTCACAACTGATCTCCTTAGACATAAGGTCCAAATGAATATCATCTGCTGTACTCAAAATGCATTGCAAAATGTCACAAATTATGTTGGATGATATTTGAGTCTTGTGTTGAGCCTGTTTTTTTCTATGTGTAGGTGGAACAAAAGAAAATGCAGTTAGAAGAACTACACAGGAGGGAGCTTCCATAACCAAAGGGCAAGCAATCAAAGGGGAAAAAAGGTAAAAGATAAAAACTAAAAACTATTTGTAAGAGGAGTCAAAGGGATGGTCCTACTCTTCAGCTGGGGTGGGCAGCCATTCCTCTAGTTATATTTTGGCCCAGAACTCCTATCAGCCCTAGTCATCATACTGAGAGATGATGACAGGATTTGCAGTCAGGGGACATCTGGAGGGTCAGAAGTTACCCATCCCCACATCACAAAACAGAGGGAAGAGGCCATTTGAGAAGGCTGGAAGCAGATCCAAAGGGTTCCAGGACAGAGCTGTGTGCTTAGTGAAGCCTCTTTTCTGACCCAGAAGCTACCTTTTGCCCTCTAATGAGGTGAGGTAAACATCCAACAAGAAGAGTGACGAAGTTCTGCCTCTGAAACATGGATGGCCTCAGTACCATAGCGCTCTTTATCTTGGGCAGCAAATGTTCTTGGGTTAGCTCCAGATCTGTGATGTGTTAAAGCCACATGAACACACAGCTCCCCAACCTGCATTCACTCTACAGGTGCAACAAGGTAGGAGAGATTCAAAATTAAAAACATGAGTGGGGAGGGCTGCTTGCACTTCTTCTGCACGTGATAGCCCACATAAGAATTGGGATCTGGCTGACAGAACTAAGGGAGAGCTAATGCAGGAACACAATAATGGGAGTGGCGGTAACTTGTTAGAGATTGAATTCTACCTACATCATTTTTAAGAATGTATCCTGTTAAGTGTTACTCTGCAGCTTCCAACTGTTTATAAATGATTCAAGTTTCCTACAAGTCACAAGGATCATTTTGTGGACAATTTAACAACATATCATTAAAATAGAGACCACTGAAGTCAACTGACACTAGTCATTTTGAATGGGTAACTGTTTCAGGAAGAACATCAACGAATCTTGTATCACTTTAAAGACTAACACATTTTATGTGACACAAGCTTGGCTGGGTTCAGCCCGGGCCATTACGTCCGATGTGTCTGACGAGGTGGACAAAATCCATGAAATTAAATAACATTTGTTAATTTTCACGTGGTGCCATATCACTCTCTGTTATTTTAACACTATGGTTCTACAAAGGTCTACTCAGAAGTAGCAGAACGTACTGCCAGATTGACCCTAATTGAACCACTCATTGTAATAACCTTCAAACGTTCATGAATATTTTTCTTCAAAATATGGAGAATCCAACTTTAACACTGGACTGCTTATAGTCACTGGGTTTTGTCCTTCCTAAATATATATCACATAGAAGATCAAATAGGTCAGAAGTGCAATTACTTTCACTCAGCCCTCTTTGGGTATTAACTCTGTCACTGGCCTAGTAACAAGGAGTGCTTCTAATGGTATTTTCCTTCTGCAGTCTCCCTGCTTAAAACACGCAGTGCTAACAATATGGAAAAAAATGGTTTTTACCCCCATTTTTTTCAATGTTTTCCCACTGCTTCTCCTGTCCTTTTTCTTAGACAGGAAAAAAATAAATCTCTTACAGGAAGCAAAATAGACTCACGAGCTATGCCCACGCGTTCTCTGCCTGGAAGCACCTCAACTCCGCTCTTTCTAAGCAATTATAACAACCTCTCAGAGTGATTGTGTTCACTTTGCAGAGCACATCTGTTTTAGGTAATCTCAGTATATTCCACAAACCATGAATAATTCCACAGATTATCAATTTCATAACTTTGAAAGCATTTTCCAAACTCCTGGTACGAGTTTTCAGTGTAAATATTTCAGGTAATTAGTGTCCCGGAAAATGCTACTTTCATATCATTTGTGAATCCTTCATCTGAAGCTGTCAAGGATGGAATGAGACCAAGAATTAATCAGTACCTCCGCCTACAAATAACACATTTCGTACATTAACAGAGAGCAATGTCATTGCTTCTACTTTTCTATGTAACAAGGTGTAACATCACTATTTTGTAACAGCAACTTAACAACCTTACATACTTTTAGTCCCCTTGGAAGAGTACCGTTGTTATTCATTATCGCTTATTTAATTATGTAACTTATCTAGGGAGGTTCTCTATTGAATTTTTAATGCTGTGCTGCTCAGAGCTGTCTGAGCCTCGGGACTCGACTAGACGGGAATTTAGAACAATCTGGGTTACGCTTAAAAGGCTCTTATCTTTGGTGGGATCTATTATATCTCATATTTGAGCAATCCTTCAATTCAGATGGGAGATGTTTCTTCTCCAAGGAGAAGGGTCCAGGCAACACTTCAGATCACTTTAATTTCTTTCCCATTTATGTCCTCTCCCCCATCCCTTTCCCCTCTTTTTGTTGCAGCTACCATTCCATGGGCAATATCAACTTCCCTTTCTGTTTTTGTTTAATTTAGTAAGTGGCATAGTACTATAACAATGCAGCAACCTAGCATAAATACTCCCTTATATTTGAATAGCACCGTGTCACTTCAGAGAATATGAAAACAAGTTGTGAGATGAAGGAAATGGTGGTGTGTGTTCTCCTCTGTCCATTCTATTGTCACAACCCACTGCATATGTCACAGGGTTGTCGCAGAAGAGAAGGCTGTCCATAGCTCTATTTGAGAGCAAATTAAGCAGCCACACAGACTACAGAACAGGATAATCGGGAGTGTTCTGCTTCTCCTGTCCTTTTTCTAAAGGTAAAGGTTAAGGTTCCCCTTGACATTTTTTGTCCAGTCGTGTTCGACTCTAGGGGGCAGTGCTCATCCCCGTTTCCAAGCCATAGAGCCAGCGTTTGTCCGAAGACAATCTCCCGTGGTCGCATGGCCAGTGCGACTTAGACACGGAATGCTGTTACCTTCCCACCGAGGTGGTCCCTATTTATCTACTTGCATTTGCATGCTTTCGAACCGCTAGGTTGGCAGGAGCTGGGACAAAGCGACGGGCGCTCACTCCGTCCCGTGGATTCGATCTTACGACTGCTTGGTCTTCTGACCCTGCAGCATAGGCTTCTGCGGTTTAGCCTGCAGCACCACTATGTCTCTCTGTCCTTTTTCTTAGACAGGAAAAAATAAATCTCTTATGGGAAGCAAAATAGACTCACGAGCTATGCCCACGCGTTCTCTGCCTGGAAGCACCTCAACTCCGCTCTTTCTAAGCAATTATAACAACCTCTCAGAGTGATTGTGTTCACTTTGCAGAGCACATCTGTTTTAGGTAATCTCAGTATATTCCACAAACCATGAATAATTCCACAGATTATCAATTTCATAACTTTGAAAGCATTTTCCAAACTCCTGGTACGAGTTTTCAGTGTAAATATTTCAGGTAATTAGTGTCCCGGAAAATGCTATTTTCATATCATTTGTGTATCCTTGATCTGAAGCTGTCAAGGATGGAATGGGACCAAGAATTAATCAGTACCCACGCCTAAAAATAACACATTTTGTACATTACTCTAGCTGCCCTGCTTCCTGTTAGTAGTGACCACATTCACCTCAGCACTAAGAAGTACCGTGGGGGAAGACTGTCTGTCTAGCATAGACCAGTATTCCATTATATAACCATATAATCATCACCCTCATCTTGGAATTTGAACCTTTGGATCATCCAGTGCAGCCCCTATCAGTGGGGAAACAAACTCTCAACCTCTGGCTCTGCAGCTAGATACCTAAACTACTGAACTATTCAGCAGTTAACTTCAATAGAAAACACCAGTGAGGAATGCAAGTGTTTGGAAGGATCTATTTTATCTCATATTTGAGCAGTCCTTCCATTCAGATGGGAGATGTTTCTTCTCCAAGGAGAAGGGTCCAGGCAACACTTCAGAACACTTTAATTGCTTTCCCATTTATGTCCTCTCCCCCATCCCTTTTCCCCTCTTTTTGTTGCAGCTACCATTCCATAGGCAATATCAACTTCCCTTTCTGTTTTTGTTTAATTTAGTAAGTGGCATAGTACTATAACAATACACAACCTAGCATAAATGCTCCCTTATATTTGAATAGCACTGTGTCACTTCAGAGAATATGAAAACAAGTAGTGAGATGAAGGAAACGGTGGTGTGTGTTCTCCTCTGTCCATTCTATTGTCACAACCCACTGCATATGTCACAGGGTTGTCGCAGAAGAGAATGCTGTCCATAGCTCTATTTGAGAGCAAATTAAGCAGCCACACAGACTACAGAACAGGATAATCGGGAGTGTTCCCAATTGCTCCAAATACACTGCAGCCCTAGCACTGTGCCAGAGAGGAACACAACAGCTTGCAAAAGGGACAAAATGGATTGTTCTTACTTAAAACATGACAAAAATAGGGTGAATCAAAAATGAATCAAATAGTGAACTATATGTTTATCTGATTAACCCCTAAGTCCCTTTTCCTTCTCCACAATCCAAGAATATCCACTAAAGGGCAGGGGGGGCAGCCACCTACATATCCAGGTATACCTAGAGTGTTCTGTTAATGTTCCAATAGGGTGCCTTAGGCCACTGGTTCCCAAACTGTGTGTGGGATGCGGGGAGGGTTGTGGCTCTTTGGAGTCATCAAGAACTTCCAAGGGTCTGGGAGGAAAAAGAAATACTGTAGGAATAATGTGATGATGATGCTAGGAGTCAGTTTTCAATAACCACGGAATCATAATGGCAGGGAATTGTCTACTACTATGGCTAATAAGAAATTTAATGGCATGAAATGTAGGTAGGTAGGTAGGTAGGTAGGTAGGTAGGTAGGTAGGAAGGAAGGATGGAAGGAAGGAAGGAAGGAAGGAAGGAAGGAAGGAAG